TTGCGAGGTGAGGAAAATGTGGGAAGGAGTTCCAGAGGATAATGGCAAAGAGGCTGAAAGCACAACCCAAGATATTGTCTTGAGATATTGAGAGAGCGGGGCAAGAGAATTAATTTGGACAGCTTTTACAAAGAGTAAACACGGACACGATGTGCCGGTTGACCTACCTCTGGCTATATCGGTTGAAACATTAATATACAGACGCCATCGCACACGTTGAACAACAACATGCATTTATGTACAGCCAATCACGGAGGGTAGCATACCGTAGAGAACCAATATCGTGGGCCTGGGTTTCTTAACCGCTTTCTGTGCTTCAGTTAATCAGTTTATGAAGCACTAACTGGCAATACAAATGAACAACGTCCGAATGTATTGCCTCTGTTTGCATTTTTAGCTCCAACTTCTGAGCCAAGTTTTGGCTGATGTCAGTGTGTGTGTTTGGGTAACTGTTGCAGTCTAACCAGTTAACCCCACATAGCTTGTTATTGAGAGGGCTCTCTGGCAAGCTTTCCTGCTGATTGTTAATTGAGGACCACCGTAGACGTTAGCTGAGACTTTGGCTGTCTGGTTGACAGCAGCTGAGTGGGAAGGTTCCCTGCCCCCAGTCTTCTGTCTTCCTTTCCAGATCCAGCCGATTAGTCAGGCTGTGTTGTCCTGTCATCAGCAGTGAATGCCCGAAATACTGCGGGGAAGGAAAGAAGGATGGCGCAAGAAAACATAAAAATGTGAGCAACTGAAAAGAGGAAGTAGGTAATCCGGCAAAGATTCTAATCTGAGAGCGTAAATGTGTGTTCTCTCCACACAAATGCAGTTACATTTCACTGCAGATGTGTGCAATCCTTTCATATTGTTTCACGGGAATTCATGTAATATGTTGTGAATGTGTATTTATAGACGGACACAAACACACAGAATTTTGCACACAGCAATATAGAAGTGTCAAATTTGACACTTGGAAAACCCCACTTCTTTTTTCCACAACATGCACAGCGCTGGGTGTCCAGCTCTGTTCACCGCTCCCAATCGTGGCTGTGCTCACCACACTAAAATAACTAACTGCGGTTTCCGAGATTCAGTTGCACACTGGCATTTTTTTTTGCTGCTGCGGCAAGTCGTACAACAATTCCTGTCAAGGACATCACGAGTCGTGTTCGTTTCGCTTGGTCTCTACAGAGAGAGAGAGAGAGAGAGTCTGAGTCTCTGATTCACATATCTGAACGTCGCTATATATCCATCTCTAAGTCACATTTCGTGTTCCTCTCTGAGTGTTTGTGAGTGTGTCTATCACAGCTCAGGTTGCCTCTGTCTGTGTGTCTGAGTATGTGTGCGTCTGTGTGTTTGTGTCAGATTGTTTCTCGGTGTGTGTGTCACAACAGCCTTCTGTATTAGTATGACAGAGAAGTGGATGTTTGGTGAACACACAGCTCAGTGACCCTGTCAAAAGCTTCTCTTGAGAATTACTCCGTGTGATTTAAGTTTCCAAATTTCCCTCCCAGTCGGACACAAACACAAGCCTCCAGGCTCTGCTATTCACACGAGCTCCTCCTTATCCTCGTCATGAAATCATTGTTTCTTATCTTTGGTGAATATCGTTTCAATCCACGAATATTTATGGGAATGTACCCAAAAGTGGTGTTCTGTAGGTCGGAGGTTAGAGCACTCGCCTTGCAAGCGAGATACCTTGGTTCAATTCCAGGCAGGTCAAAACCTTGCTCAAGTTTCCTTACTCCACACGCCTAATAATATTCCCTGCAAAATAAAACATTAATAATTTTATCATTTTCAATCCGCGATTGTTTGCCGCGTTTCGCCCACGTATATACGATCAATTCAATATACAGCATATTGTGTGAACAGCTTTGAGACGTCTAGACGACGTGAAAAGCAGTGTTTCAAATGTAAGGTTTATTATTTATTATTATGACCCAGTCACAGATTCTTCCCAGCCAGAGAGATGGAATGGAGAGAAGAGTGAGAGGCGTCTTTTTTGACCCTCAACTATCCTTTCTACCACAAAATCGTGCCAATGTCTCACACAGAAGGCTGCCGGAAACTTCTTCCATGCTTTTCATAACATCCAGGCTCCTATATGCAAAGTCACTGCTTGTCGGCCTCCCCAACTATTCACTGTATCGGCCGCAGATCACCCAGGATTCTGCAGCCAGTGTCATCTCCTCCACCAGACTGTGTGACCGTTTCATACCCATCCTTGCCTGACTCCATTGGATACAGTTCAGGATCTGGTTCCACGCCCTGAATGCCCTCCATGGCCTCACTCACCCCTACATCTGCGATTTCCTAACGCCTTACCAATCTGCCCTCTCCCTCAGCTCAGCGCACTCCAGCCTGAGTCATGTCTCCCACCACACCGCTCCAGCATCGACGAGCGAGCATTTTGCCACTCTGCAACCACCCATTGGAACTCTTTCTGCAGTCCACCTACCACGCCCTTTTCTTGCTTCCTTCAAGATAAATCTGAACACCCTTCCCCTGGACC